TCAAAAAATCTTGAGAGTCTGATCCCCTCCTCAAGTACATCACGCACAAGGCTATATGTAAACACATATAAGCAACGCGTCAAAACATCGACAATGTCGAAAAATAACAACTCCCACGTGGAGAATACTAGCTCCGTGCTACTACATTATCGTGAGACAACTCCCACGAGGAGATAATTCGCTACTACATCGTCGCGGGACAAAACCGACGACTCAATTAACTTACATCGCGACGACCTTGTCGCGCTATGCGCCAACGCGCATTCACGCCCCTCCGACACACGCTCCAACGCGTTTTCGCATACCATTAGGCCATACGCCAACGATCGACTTCTACAATTTTTACTCTCGACACGATTTGAGACCCATTACAACATGGCCCCCACATCGACTCGAGAGTGGGGGGCTTAATGATATGCCTAATTGGGCCAACCCAATGGGCCTACAATTTCTTTACCTACTGGGCTACGAGCCCAATATCGAAGACTAATATCACCGAGACCCAAACACCTTCAAGTAAGGCTTGGGCCCAGCAAAGCAAACCCAACCCAATAAACGACATATAAATAGAGGTTTTACTCATTTTATTAAGGTATGTCCTATTTAACTGAGCAATACTACAATACGTATTCTCTGGACCATTTCTACTATCAGCATGTCTGACTTGAGCGTCGGAGGGGTTTCCGCCGGATCAACCCCCGGCTTAGTTCATGTGTTCTATGATCGCAGGTACCTCAGGATCATCAAGTTGTCAAGCTACTGATCTGTTTTGCTCTCCCAGTTCATTTTCTACACTACCCTAGGTGAGCTACACATATTAGCATCATCAGTTATATATCCAACCACCTTACAAAATAGGGATAATTAGTGAAAACCTCCCAATACATTTAGATATATTATGATGGATATATAGCCTTTTACAATATTAGTGAAAGCCCCCTTAATTATTAACATAAATTAATATTTATTAGATTAATATATAATATCCCTAATTTACCCCCACATAATTGTAACCCTATTTCTCTATTTTTCTCACTTTTTCTGTCCACTGCCTCCGCCATCTCTTCTTTCTTCTTCTGCAAATCTCTCTACCCACCTCTGCCATCTCTCCACCATCCTGTATTGCATCGCCATATGTACATCCATTGTCGTGCACACCATCGCCTCATCGTACGCTCCTGTCACCGCCTTTTTGTTTTTTCGGTTCTTTAATTTTTGATATCATTTCTACAACCCTTGTCGGAACCGCCTCCACCATCGATGAAGAAACCTTGGACTGCATCTTCATGGAGAATCGCCGCCTCCGCGCTCCATTTCCCCCGCCCTACTTCTACAAAGCTTTGGAGGTTAGAGATACCAAGGTTTCCGATTTCTGATAAGTGTTCATTTTACATGATTTTCACTTATCAATTCTTCGAGTTTTGGTCTTCGTTTGTCCGAGTTTTCGGCTTTATTTGTATATATTATGTTGTTTTTGTTTTATTTTTATTTTAGGCAATGAGAATATATTTTTTCCGATTCGAAACGATTTTGGAAGCGAAGCCGAAAATCAAACCAAACACGTGCAAAAGTGCATTATCGTGGATTGTGGCAATGTTTCGTATTTCAAACATAACTTTTGCATACGACCTCCGATTGAGCTGACTCAAGTGGCCTTAGAAAGCTAACGTCAAGATATACAACTTTTGTGAAATGAAAAATCGTCAAATGCGGGCTAAACAAGGGTCAAAACACTGTTTGAAGTTGGCGCAGAAGAGCAGATCACAATCCAACCTTCCTGTATCGCGATCTGGGGGGTCTTACAGAAGGTTTTGTTGATCAGGACCCAAATCGTGATCCAGCCTTCCTGGATCGCGATCTGGGGGGTCACACATAACATTTTTTGATCAAGAACCAGATCGCGATCCACCATTCCCGTATCGCGATCTGGCAAGGCGGTGCGCAGTTTCCAAGGTTGCCAGTCGCTATCCAAGAAGCCCATATCGCGATCTGGGCACAAAATTCGCGACGAGATATTTTTCTTTGATTTCTTACTATAAATAGAAGGCCTCTTCTTCATTTGTTTAAAAAATCAAAACCTATCTCAAGACCTCTTCTTCGATTTTTCTTCGGTTTTCGCCAGTTCTTCGCGGGAAGCTTTGATGAGGGTTTCGACTCGGGTTTTTAATAAGCTTTTCTTTACGTTTAGGTTATAATTCGTGTTCTTCATTTTGATGCCATTTTTGTAATGAACTGATCATTTTCTTTTAGGGAAATGAAACCTTGTATATATTGATTTTGATTTGTAGATCTGTGATCTATTTGTAGTTCATTGATTCTATTTATGTTTTTCTATATTAAAATGCTTTCGATTGTTTGGTCAAATGTTGAATTTCCGTTCCAACTTGCACCCCTATAAATAGGTAACGACATAAATATCCTTAATGAAATTCAATACCACAAAAACATTAAAAATCTCAATTTTCTTTCTTCAATACCAAACACAAAAAACCCCTCAAACCCCTCAACCTCCTCCTTCTTCTCCCTCACAACAAAACCTTCTAAGAAAACTCAAAACTAAAGAAATCAAAACTTCAAACAACTTGCAAAATGGAGTCAAATGACAACAAAATGGTAGTTTACGGTCAAGGAGAACCCACTAAGGTATGTATCCATATTTTTTTGAGCTTCAAAGTCGATTTTGAAGTATTTTTTTTGAAACCCGCCTACAGTTTCGACACATACTGGTCGAATTTTTGGTCAATTTTCAAATGTCGAAACTTTTATTTATAAAAAAAAAACCAAATTCGACATATGTTGAAATTACTTAAAATTCTGACATGTATGTGTCGAAAAGCATTGCTGCTTCATTTTTTTTTTTCTGACAAGTTGGTGTCGAAAATTGACCAAAAATTGGACATGTATGTGTCGAAAACTGTAGGCGGATTTAAAAATAAACTAAAAAATTGACTTTGAAGCTCAAAAAAGACATGAATGCATACTTTAATGAGTTCTCCTTCCATGTAAACTAGCATTTTATTATCTTGTGACTCCATTTTATAAGTTTTGTGAGGTTTTGATTTTTTTGAATTTTGAGATTTTTTAGAGGGTTTTGTAAGAAGATGAAGAAGAAGAGAGGGTTTAGGTTTGGGGAAGAAGAAGAAAGTTTTTTTAATTTTTGGTATTGAAATGAGGAAAACAAATATTTTTTGTGTAAATTGTATTTTGTATGATGAGGGATATTTTAGTACTTTGCTATTAAAAAAATATTTGTGGTATTAATCTAAGAAAAAATTGTAAAAATTCTATAAAATATGATATTAAATTTGGTGGTATTGAAGTGAGAGAAAAATTGGTATTAGTTTTAGCCGCCCCATTAAGTAATGAGTAGTGGGTAATGGAAATTGATTAGTGGAGACGAACAAATTTGGAATATGAAAAAAGTTGGACCTATTACTAATATTGAAAATAAGGATGGATCCACTATTAATAAAAAAAGCTAGAGGGGTTATCACTAATAGTCCCTAAAAAATAATTTTTAAAATGAGATCTAACAGCCTATCAACTTCTAAAACATCTTATCAGATGTTTATAAGATGTTTTAAATAAGCTTAGTCAAACGAACTGTTAGATTGATCTTCGGTTCAAATTCGTCACCTCCTATCAAATATTGATATGAGAGGCTCCTATAACCAAGGTTGGAAAAGGCGGTAATCGGGTCCGAGTCGGTCAGGCACGGACTCACGATTAATCGGTGCGGCGGTGATTAATTGGTGATAAATCGGAAATAAATCGGTTTTTAAAATTTAATATAATATATTTCTAAATATTATTTATAAATACTCCAAACATATATAAAAAGATATTTAAACATAGTTATATCTCCATCATGTATATATTTTAATAACATAATAAAAGTTTAATAATTATAAGATCGTAATACATAAATATCCTTATAAAATATAAATAAAAAAGAAAAATTTTTGAATTAACATTTATTTAGTTCTTTAACAATAATAATTAACATAAACAAAATAAGGCATAAAACCATATTTTCTTTTATTAAAATCCAACTTTTATTTGAATTATAAAAAAAAAAAAAAACCGATTTTTAACCGATTTTTGACCTATTTTTGCCACGGAGTTTGACCCGCCTTAAAGGTTTGACCGCCTCAGAACCGCCTCGGACCGCCTCAGACCGCCTAAAACCGCCTCACAGGCAAAAAACCGATTTTTCAAACCTTTACACTAAAATCGTAAAGGTTTTGGACCGCCTCGGCCGAGTCGGCCGATTAATCGGCCGCCTCAGCCGATTTTTAGAACACTGCCTATAACAGAGCGGGGTTGAGGCGGTTATTGCAATACTCGCCCATGTACCACTCCAAAACCCTCTATACCCACTTATAAAATTACTTACAAATAATGTTTTATTTTGAATTATCCTTGAAAAAAAATATGTCCATGACTTTCTTCCTTCAATTAAAAAATAAATCAAACTCAAATCTCATACAACAATTATATAGAATATCACGCTACAAATTAAAATATCTTACAATGAATAACTATTAAATATATTAATTACATATTAAAAAAAAATATCTACGAAGCGGGGCTACGAGGCGAGTACACACAAAATTCACGCATGCCCCGACACAACGTAATATTTTTTTTGAGTATCTCCGCACATATTTTTCTAAGTAGAGAATACTCGCTAATTTCGGGTCAGGGCGAAGACTCAATGAGTAGATCAAATTACCATCCCCGCTTCTTCTAGCACCACTAGTGGTGGATATACTAGTTATCTTCATTCTTAAAATCAAACCACGAACAATAATTAAATTTCTCTGTAGAAAATGGTGAAAAAATTATTTGCTTTGCACCAAAAGACAAAATCGTTCACCTTTTGGTTCCTATCTTCTGACCCGACAAATTTTTAGGGTGGCGGATTTGGAGTCGGTGCCCATAAATAATCAATCCTTATTAGATTTGAAATTCACACACTAAAATTAGCAATACTCGACCTCGCAAGATTTTTTTTGCTTTTCTTGACGAGGGAAACGGTGAAGAGAGCTAAAGAAAGATGAATGAATAAGAAATAATTGCAAGAATTTTGTGATGAGGAAAAAAAGACAAGAAAAATAGAAAAATCATCTATTTATTGAAATCACACGCAATTGGCAATCAATCACACTCACTCGAAATTCAAAATTATTGAAATGTCGTCTGTGCTTGTAAACTCGCACCCCTGGTCTGCGACTGCTGTACTCCTCTCACAAAGATATCAAAACTTGTCTCCCAAATCTGCTTCCTTATCCTTCTCTCCTCCTAACCCTAATTTCAGCTTCTCCATACGCTGCTCCCCCTCCTCCTCTTTCAATGACCCAACTGATCCGCCTTCTAAGCCCGACAACGAGATATTACCGGTGCCAGATCTCGAACCCACCTCGAAATTCGATGATGAATGGGGCCAATCTGAAGTTGTTGAATTCATCAATGGAACCCCCGTTCCTGACCCTGTCGTTAAGGAAGAAGAAGAAAAGGAAGACGATGGGAAGCTTTGGGAGTTGAAACGGGCTTTGGTGGATACGGTTTACGGGTCGGATTTTGGTTTCCGGGCTTCAGCTGAAGTCCGGGCCGAAACACTTGAACTTGTTTCCCAGCTTGAGGCTGCAAACCCTACTCCTGCACCCACTGAATCCCCTCAATTACTCGATGGCAACTGGTTTTTATTGTGAGTACTCTCATTTTCTTCCTCTTCAATTGCTCAATTTTTTATTTTTTTTTCTTTTTTTGTTTTTTTGGTTTTTATATGTATTACTTGATACTTTGTTTGATGGATGGTACCAAATGGAAAACTTGTGAATACTTCTTTTAGTGTCACATTAGAATGACATAATCCATTGTTCGATAGCACTTCAGTTCTTTATTCCCGGTTTTATTGTAAGTCTTGCGAAGCTTATTGTTTCATTCAACCAATGCTTTGGTAGATGGATTAGTAGATGTAAATGCAAATTTTCATTTGTCGGACAATTAGGTGTGGAACTAGTAATGTTTCAAATTTTAATCGTAAAATTTTTAAAGCAAAAAAAATCGACTTGATTTGCTCCCCAATTGTATGATAGTGAGAGTCGCTTTATAGTATAGTAATCGTAAATTCTAAGATTTGATAGTTTATATTATGTAAAGGCTATTAGTATTTACTAGTTAGCTATGGTTATTTATGTGCAATGAATTGTGTTTGTTCCTCTTCTATCTATATATGCTGGCACTACCGATACATATAAGCTTTATTACGCCTAGTTTCAGAACTGGATTCATCAAAGAACGAGGCTGGACAAACCAATCCTGTGAATGTTGAGGATTTACAAATTTGAAAACAAACTGTATGTGGCAGATCATTTTAGTTTGCTTTGTCGTAACTCGACTTTGGATGCGAGATCCAGTAAATTTAGTTTAATATGCTTAAGTAGAATCTGTTCTGCCAATGTGAATTCGTCAAAACCTTCCTCTCTCAAATCCAATAAATATATTTTAATATTTATGGTGCATCCATATTAAGGGGTTCTTAAATCTCATTATTACCGCTCATACCTAGTAATTACATGCATGATTATCCACTATCTTGTCTTCAAATTCTAAGCACATTTAGGAGTTTAGTAAATTTCACACCCTAATAGTAATGTGCCTTGTCAAGAGGATTATTTCTCATTACAACCTAAATATTAAAGTCGGTCCATCTTTTCCACTTATGCTGAAGTAGCTCTATTTAAGTTGCTTTTATGATTATTAGCTGCAACGAAGATCCGAAAATCAAATTCTTGTTTCCATGTTTTCTAAATCACTTATCAAGCCTAATTTTCAAGTACGTTTACACCTAAAATAATTTGAGAAGTCTAATATTTGTTATCTTATAACATTTCTTGGGATCCTTGAAGCTATATTTCCACCCAGTTTGCGAACTTTATATGCTGCTAAATGACCTTAGGATAGGACATTGTGAATAGCTGATGCTGTTACGTAAGAACAATTAATAGGGAAAAAGGATCCTTGTTTGAACTATAGATCTCCTTCCCCATCAACGTAGAAAGTGGTGTGGTAAAAGAGTGGGAGCTAAATGGTATTATTTACATGTCTCCTAGATATTTTGTCTAATTGAACTGCATTTATTAAGAAACTGACGCAAATCACGGCACATAGTATGCTAGAAACAGCACAGTGCCAAAAGTGTTGCAGATATTGCATGGGATTTTAATAATGCTACGTATTTATCTCGATTTTACTAAACCTCCTCTTTCTACGATTGAAAATATAACAGATTACCGGCATCACCCTTTAAGAAAACCACTGTATAAAATCCCAGTAGAGATGTTATACCAAATTCTTAGAAGAAAAAGTTTACTCAAATGCCACAGAGGCTCGGTTGGTTGAGTCTAAGATGTTGACCAAATTGATACTGTTAGAATAGCAAAGTTATTTAGAGTTGGGAAAAGACTCCAAACGAGGAAATACTTCTTCCAAAGACGGACACAAATCTCCTAACATAGATAGAAAATGGATTTCCTAATAAAATTAAATTCCTAATCTAAGACAAATACCTAAATATATTCCCCCAGCATGGATATATTATTACTGCTTTAACCATGTAAAGGTTTTTGCTGTGGCTAGCCGGCTTCACTTGCTGCATGCTTGACCTGCTTATTTCAAATGGGAATTAAATTATAACATGGTTCAATCAGCTTTATTGGTTTGGTCGAAATTATTTTGCAGTACGCAAACCATTTATTTCTGGTTTAAATCATTCTCTAGTACAGCAAGCTGTGGATAGCTTGTGATCCAGTTCCTTATCTGAAGCATGGGATTTTGGTGTTGGACTTCTTTCAATATCCCATGTTAGATAATAATTGAGCTCTAATTTTTCGATTAATAATTAATGAGCTGCTTAATTCCCAAGAGATCTTCTCCATCTTATTAATTTTATTAACCTTGACTGTATCTCTTTCAACATGGAACATTAGCATAGGAGGCAAAACATGTCCAGTCTGAGTTTGACATTGCTTTTCAAACTGTTAAACAATTTGAATAACAAAGATAGACATGAAAAACTAAAAGGAGAAAAAAACTCTATCGAACATAGAATAGAGAAAAGGAGGATTGCAAATAGTGGGGAAAAGGGGCTTTAAATAGCCATAAGAGGACTATTCTACCATTAACCTAATAACAATACTCTACCCTTAGCCTAATAGAACTAGTCTACCACAACACCTAACCTAATTGCGTAATAACTCTCCCTTCAAACTCATGATGCAACTGCTACAAAGCATCAAGAGTTTGACAACTATGAAATGAAATCTACCGAAATAGAATCCAACATGAGGCTGACATTACTTTAAAACCACATTAGCATAAGAATAAAAATTAAATTCTGAATAGGCTATCAGAAATTGGTTGTATGTGCTAATTTGGTAATACCTTAATGATAAAAGTTTCATGAAATGGCCATCTTTTATTGGCCTAATTTTACTAGGAGAAGAAAAAAGAATCTAATTAAAAAAAATGATGAGTAAATATGCCAAATGATGGGGTATTGTCAGTACACGTCTGAAATTGCACGCACCCATGGTTAGAATGATCCTATTCTTTCTTGCCATCTGCTTTGTTTTCTTTTATTCATGTTGATTTTGCACACTCTTTTCTTAAAGTACTCTGTCTACAAGTACATGGTGTTTTATATTTACAGATAAGCATCAGTGTAAAGGAGAGTGGGCAGAGCTTTTATTTGTTCTTGTTTGTAAAGAGAGGTTTTTGCATGAACATATATGTGTATCCGTTAAGTAAAAGGTTTTTCTTTCTAAATTCTAACAAATGGCTTCAGTTTTCCATTTCATGCATGAACATATATTTGAATATTACTTTGTGTAAAATGGTGAGCCTTGGTTTTATGTGGTGCAACAAGTAGGGGGGGTGCCTGGGAATCATTGGTAAAATTTTGATCAAAAGGTTTTGCTTGCAAATTGGTGTGTTAAAAGTTGAAAACATGGAACGGAATATTTTCCTGTTAACAAAATGCTAAGGTAGTAGTTCAAATCAGGACAAACAAATGAATGACATGCTAGAATTATTATTTTGCTTGTCCCACACTTGGTCTTTTCGGGTAATAAAAGACGAGAAAAGGGACTGGTTGAGATACTCAAACTTAAATATTTGTAGTGGTTTATTTCATTTTCATGTTTCGTTTTTCACATTCATATCAGGTACACAGCCTCGTCTGAACTACTGCCACTGCTGGCAGCTGGCAGTATTCCATTGGTGAAAGTTGAAAAGATCGTTCAATCTATTGACACAAGTAGCCTTACCATAGACAACTCCGTTACATTATCAAGCCCTGTTTCGACCTTGTCTTTTAGTGCTTCTGCATCATTTGAAGTGCGCACCCCATCAAGAATACAGGTACTACTACATAATCTTGCTCATTATCTGCAGTACAGAAATCAAAACCCCATTGTTTATGAATATCAGGTAATAAATAATTCCGGAAATTTATATATTTGCAGGTTGAATTTAAACAAGGAACATTTAAGCCTCCAGAAATAAAATCAAGCATAGATTTACCTGAAAGCATTAACATATTCGGGCAAAACATAAGTTTGTCGTCAGTACAGCAGTATATGAGTCCTCTTGAAAATGCAGTGGAGGGCTTAGCACGTACTATTTCTGGTCAGCCTTCTCTTAAGATTCCGATTCCCGGTGAGGGCACAAAGTCGTGGCTTTTGACTACATACCTTGACAAAGATTTTAGGATTTCAAGAGGAGATGGTGGCCTTTTTGTGCTTGTTAAGGAAGGCAGTCCACTTTTAGATATGTAGACTCATATTCACTTGTTACCTACATATCTATTCTATTGTAATAATTTTCCATCTTTGATTTTGCACAATAACAAAGCTATACTACTACTACTACAAAACCTCGTAAGACATTTTATATTCTTGCAGCAATCTTCAGGGGTTATTAGTAGATTCTACTGAGTTGATTTTTCAACTGTCTTAACTTATATCCAATCGTTCTCAAAAAGAAAAAAAAAAAAAAATTGTATCAAATTCTTCAATTCCTTGTGTGTGTGTGAGTGATATAAAATATGAATTACTTGTAGTAGCTTCTCTACCTGCATAATTAATTTCTTTCAATTCGTAAACTTTATTCAAAGATTTGATTTGATTAAGCTCAACTATTGACAATGACGTATTAATTAAATTAACTATTAATAATATAGGTAATATCTTTTAAATTAAATTTTATCATTAAAAGTAATAAAATTTAATTTGTAAAAAGTGTAAGAACCAAATCGTAGATCATAAAATTTAATCTTTTTATTCAAATATTTGAATGGAATTTCAGATTTAAATGGATTAAGCTCAAGTCCCTCAAATGCCTTCATTTTTTTCATTATTTTAATTTTTTATTATATTACCTTTGTTAATAATTTATTGGGGGCTTAAGATATAGGTCCCTGCTGACAAAACTAATTACAACTAAATGACAAGTCAAACTAAACCTTTGCTTCACATCATTTATTAAATTTATTCCAAAAATGCCCTTCCACTCACAAATTCAAAATTTGCATTTAGTAAAATTCAAAATGCATTTATCATTTTTTATCATGCATTTAATATCTTATTTTTTATAAGACAATTGGTTAGGATCATGATGGTTTTGTAGATGTAGCACTCTGGAATACACCCTCTAGAATACAACGGGTGATTTTGCACAAATCGATCTACACGTAAAAACAATTATCTGCATGTATGCGTGCGTAGTGGATGATTATTTATGTATATCTATGATGTAAAATTATCCGGTACATTTTACCAGGTGTAGTATCTCATAGATCGATCCATGGTAATTGTAAACCACAAATTTTTCAGGTCTGCAAAATATAATAAAAATACAAGACAAGAAAATAGGGAACAAATAATTTATTAATCAAAACGATGTGGATTACAATCTCCGTAATTCCCCTGATTCTTCTCTCCTATTCTAATTTTGATTCAAGGGCTTAAAAGCTTGTTCTTGAATCAAACATATGATTTCCTATCACGAACACCTCGAATTTAAATATGTTATGAATTCGAAGAATCGAACATATGATTTCCTATCACGAACACCTCGAATTCAAATATGTTATGAGGCGGAGGCTCGAGACTTGAGCTTGAAAGCTCGATATGTGTCTGTGTGAGTCTGATTTTTACATGCATAAAATGCCTTCTTTTATAGACGCAAGCTAGGGTTTCTTGCCACAAGCTAGGGTTTCATGATTTGCAGCATGGGCCGGATATTTTAAAGCTCAAATATATTATGGACTTTAATTTGAGACATAATTAATAACCAAAATAAATTGATTATTAATTAGTAATTTATCTCAAAATTTCGATGTCTACAAATGCCCCCACTTCTAGTCTCGGCGAAGAACATGTTGCATATTTGTGAGACGAGACTTGAAGTACTCGAATTTTCCTTCACTTGTTGGCTTCAAAACTCCTTTCCTCCATTTTTGGGGTGTATGGAATTTTCATCATTTTTTAGGACTTAAATGGGAAGTCCATTTTCTGATATTTGGGGTGGAAATGTAATTTCGCCTTTTTGAGTTTGCGGCTCAATTACTATTTCTGTATTTCCACAGGAAGGACCCAATTGCAGTTTAGAAGACTTGTTAACAATTGGGTATTTGTCATTCTTGCCACCAGGACTCCATAGAGGCGTGTTTGGAGAACAAGAACAACTTCCGCATTACCCACGCACACCGGCCACACACAATGACAAGCAGCATAGAGGAGATGGAACGGGGCTATGAGCAGCTTCGAGGCAACGTATTCGTGGTTGCCGGGCAACGAAGCGGCACCACTCTTAAGCCTGCAGGAGCTCGAGGTTTCACTGGGATTTGGATACGTGTGCAACGGCGCTATAGGTGATAACTCCGGCGACTGATTTAGGCGGCGAATCAGAGTGCGATGGTGGAACGTACGTACTGACAGCAATTTGAATCGGAAATCCAATGAGCTTGTTGCAGCAGCATCCTCGAACAAACATGCTTCTCCTCGTAGAGGAGACAAAGTGATGACACCAGCGAGTGCTTCAGGCGGCGATCGGTAGTTCTTCGGTGCAAAACTAGCTTCCGGGAGGTATCAATGGAATCTCCAGTGGAAAACAAGGTGTGACACTCCCAATGGCGGCGGCATATTTGGACGAGTGGAGCTACGGAGGTTTGCACCGGGGTAGAAAATGATAACACCGATGAGTGCGTCGAGCGGCGATGGTGATTCCGAACGGCCTGTTGAGCGAGTTGGAGTTTTTTTTTTTTTTTTTTTTTTTTTCTTTTTCTCTTCGGCTATCAAGTGGCAGCATCGTTGGGGCTTCTTCAAGTCTGCAGCAGCCTTTGAAGATGATGAATTCCGGCAGATTTGGGATGTTCGTCGTAGATCCACCATCAGGACCTTTTGAGAGGAGATCCTTTCCGCCATGGGCGTTCTTTGTTTTCTTAGTTGGACTTTGCTAATTTTTAGGAAACAAGATTTGGCAGATCCTATTTGCATATCTTGATCGCATATGATTGCACAGATCGTTTGTTTCCTATCAAGAACGAAATCCTCAATGTTTACCATATCAGAGTAAGGAAAATATCCTCATGATTGAATTGGTGCAAGAAAAAAAAATTGCAAAATTCCTTTTACTGAAATTCTTTGTTGCCCCACCAACGAATATCATATGATATTCTCCAAATAAGATTTTTTTTTCTTCTTTTTTGTTGGGGCTTCATCGAGATGAGTGATTTGAAGTCTACTCTCTCAAACTTGATGAGTTTCAGAGGGAGTGTTGTCTATTGGCTTGCCCCCGGTGTATGATTTGACTACCGGTAGCAACAACACCAAGGCCTCTTCTTCTTGGGAGCCATCGAACGTACATGGAATTTGATATCGGAGAAAGAGATGAAGGGCGGAGTTTGTCCCACTTGGCGTGCCAAAATTTGTAAACCATAAATTTTCGAGTCTGTAAAACATAAATACAAGACAAGAAAAATATAGGAAACAAATAAATTTATTATCAGACAAGAAAAATATAGGAAACAAATGAATTTATTATCAAACGAAAGTGGATTACAATCGCCGTGAATTCCCCTGATTCTTATCTCCTATTCTAGATTTTGATTAAAGGGCTTAAAAGCTTGTTCTTGAATCGAACATATGATTTCCTATCACGAACACCTCGAATTTAAATATGTTATGAATTCGAGGAATCGAACATATGATTTCCTATCACGAACACCTCGAATTCAAATATGTTATGAATTCGAGACGGAGGCTCGAGACGTGAGCTTGAGAGCTCGATATGTGTCTGTGTGAGTCTTTATTTTTGCATGCACCGAAGGTCGCTTTTTATAGGCACGAGTTAGGGTTTTGACTTGTAGCATGGGCCGATGGATTTGGATACTTGCCATTTGATTTATTGGGCTAGATTCGAGCCCAATTAGATAATCCGTAAAATAAGAATTTATTACTTATTTAAGGATTAATCCATGTGTAAAGCCCAAATATGTTATGGACTTAGATTTGAGACCCAATTAATAACCGATTTATTTGGCCATTAATTGATCAAATTTCGGTGTCAACAGTAATGTAATATATAAATATACTATTCCTTGATAAATTGCATAATGACTGTTTATTTTTTTACATGGATTACACTATCCATGATCATGTAATTTGTGATTACCTTATGCTATATCATGTATAGCATTGTGTATATTATTTTTGTTATTATTATTCATCTATATTATACATGATTATGCATTGTATATTATTAGGGGTATAGAATAGAAACAAAAGTTATCCTAAAAATTCTTATATTTTGAAATAGATTTTTCGTTCTAATTTTTGAAATTTTGATTTTAGTTTATTTTATCTTAACATGTTAATTTCAAATTTACTTTGTTTTTTTTTTTTTCTGCATTTTAGCTTAATTAATGGATCGTTGTTGTTATTGTTTACATATTGCTTGAAGGAGATAATGTTACATGGCTTACAAGCTCGACTAGTCATGTGACAGTTTTGGGATTTTGATCCAATCACATGATCAGTGGCGGATGCAGGACGAAAATTCAGGGTATGCCGAGTCCAAGAATTTACTGTATAGTGGGGTTAAATTTTTGGGGGTTCGGGGGCAGCGCCCCCGGAAAAAAAAATTGAACTTTTTTTTGTTGGATAAATTAGGAGAAGAGAAAAAAAATTGAAACTTTTTTTTTTTTTTGGATAAATTAGGAGAAGAAAAAATTTGGAACTTTTTTTGTATATTTTGAATTTTGGGTGGACTAAATAATAATATAGATATAGTATAAATAATAATATAGATATAATATAATGTGTTTTTGGGGAGAGGGGCTAAAAAAACAAGAAAAAAATTAGGATTTTTTTTGTATATTTTGAATTTTGGGTGGACTAAATAATAATATAGATATAATATAATGTGTTTTTGGGGAGAGGGGCTAAAAAAAAAAAGTTAGGACTTTTTTTTTATATTTTGAATTTTGGGTGGACTAAATAATAATATAGATATAATATAATGTGTTTTTGGGGAGAGGGGCTAAAAAAAAAAAAAAAAAGTTAGGACTTCTTTTTTATATTTTGAATTTTGGGTGGACTAAATAGTAATATAGATATAATATAATGTGTTTATGGGAGAGGGGTTCAAAAGAAATTTAGACAAAAAAATTAAACTATACTTGGTTGTACCATAATGGAGTCAAACACTCATGACCTCATCTAACAATTTGGAGATCTTTGCCACTAAGGCAAATTTAATTTCATTATTTGGGGTGATCCATAGCATACTTGACCACCCCTAGATCCGCCCCTGCACATGATGAAAAAGCCCGAGTTGACTTTTCGAAAAACAAGCTTGAGTTGACTTTTGGGAAAGCCGTTATGAGATCAAACAAGGTTCAGGTGACAGCAAATCCTTATATTAAAGTTTGCTTTGGATAAAACCTGCATCTCATT